TGGGAAAGACTTCCCTATACTTTGTCTGAAGTCCTGAGAGCCACAGTAAAAGCAAGCAGTACCAGGCCAGATAGACTCAGTGTAAGCTTCATATGTTAAAACAATGATCACCTGAGCTGCATCCTCAACTGCCTTGGGCCTACAATACCCTAGCACCTGGCCCGTAGCTACAGTGGGGCATTTCAGAGCCACACTTCCTTGCTTACAGGCCCTGCCCCACAAGTTCCCCACAAGCGGTGGCACAGGGGATTTTCCCTCTGCTTAACGATAACATCTGAACTGCCAAGCTTTGGCAGTTCTAGCCCCGTGCTGGTGTGAGCAACCAAGCCTTGTCCTAGTTCATCGTCTACCCAGCAATTCGAAAGCTTCGGCGAGTAGATAAATTGGGGACCACCCGTAAGGGGGTGGGCACACCACTCCCTTCGGGAAGGTGTTAGCTGCTGAGTGTGACTTCTGAGGCGCGGCGAGATCGGAAAGATGAAAGAGCTGTTTTGGCTGCCCTGCAGTGGAGTGAGTCGGCCAGGCGGTGGCAGTGTGGCAGCACAACATCAAGAAGCCCTGATGTCATCAGCCAGCCGACAAGAATATACGCCGTCGGAACACGACTGATCCAGCCCGCAGATGAAGCCCCGGCTAGCTGCAGTGTGTGTGTAATTAAAATGCTGTATGTTGTCTTCCCTATCCCCACAAACATTGTTAGTCCAACTGTCAAAGAGTAACTGTAAAATCGCTCTGAGCCCGCAGGTGTGTGGGAAAGAGCGATTAATAAATCCGGGGGGGGGGGCAGTTCCAAGCCTGAAAAGCCTTTTTAAAAATTTTATTTTAATATTTGTAGGGGGGGTTTCAGCCGCATGTGCCTGTGCCAAGCCACACCAATTTAATCTGTCTCACTGTGCTGCACCCTGCCCAGCTGGTCCTGACCTCACTAGCACCACCCTCCCATGCTGCCGGCTTTTCTCATTCCCACACTGGCAGGAGCAATGTTTGCCTTCAGGCAGCAGGTCTTCCAAAATCACATTCTGTTACCTCTAAGACCATTTTTCCCATTCCCACACCGGCAGGAGCAGAGAGCCCCTGGCAAGGAGGAGGGGGAGGGAGGGAGACCAGGAAGCTGGCCGGCTGGTCCCAGGATGATGGCATGCTTCCTGCTCTCCCTGGGATGGGGGCTCTCAGGGCAGATGAAGCTGCCACTTGCAAAGGAGCTGAGCCAGGCGCGGAGGCACAGAGTGGGGAAGGAAGGCAGGAAGGGAGGTGACACGGCTTGACTGGACTCAGCCATGCCCTGGGGTGCCCACCTCGTCCGGTAGGAAGAGCTTCTGGACAGCTGAAGTAGGCAGGTTGTGCCTCTGCAGTTGCGCCTCCGCGGTTGTGCCTGCTTGATTTGCATTTGCATTTGTTGAGAATGGGGGTGCCATTGGTGCATGCACAGTGAAGCCAGCCAGCAGAGAGCCACCACAGCCCTAGCTGTGAACGCTGTTTAACTCTAAGCCTTTTCCTTGGCTTCTTCCTTGCCGCTAACTATCCAGCAGTGCAGGAGAGGGGCCTGCATCTGCTTAGTGAGTGAGTCCTTTTATTTTATTCTCCATTTTTTATTTTGCGGCATCACGCCCCATCAGTTTCCCCAGTGCGCCCCCCCCCCCAAATGTCCTAGCTACGGGCTTACCTAGCACTAAACCCCCATTCCACAAAACTCATGAAGATGGAAATCTGAATGTACAGAGGTTTCTCCAGAGGCATCCCCTAGCTAGACAAGTGGTGTATAGCCCAGCAGCAGATGTAAAGTCTCATCTTAAGAAGGACCTACGAGTAAATTGTCTGCTTGTCTGCACCGGATCTCACAGTACCCTGAATGTGGTCTAACTGCATGACTTTTGTGAACTTTTTGCCAGGATTCTGTATATAGTTGACAGAATCTTGTTTTGCCACTCCTGGGAAGGAACATCCTCTTTGAGACCAGTGTTTCCTCTAAGCTGAGTTAGTGTGAGATAGCTCACAGTTTTTTAGCCTCCAGCTCACACATTTCTGTCTTCGCTCAGAAAGGATGGCTCCAAACTAATTTAGGCAGCAGCCCAATCGCTCACTCAGAACTTTAATGCCAGTAGCTCACAAAGTAGTTTTTTGCTCACAAGACTCCATAGCTTAGAGGGAACAATGTTTGAGACTACGTCTAAAATCATTCCAAAGAGCAACAACTTCTCGACTGATATGGGGAGTGAAAAAGTGGTCTCTCAAAAGAAGCACAGTTCACAAGTCCCAACAGATCTCCTCTAGCACCCATCCATCCAAGGCTGCAGATGCTCAAATGCACTGAACCAACTGAAGGAGCCACAACCCTCCACAAAACTAATCAGGCTGAGATGGCTTTTATTTGGTAACTTACTTCCCCAATTGGACTTGAAGGGCAAAGACAAGGGGGTTTGGCATTTTAGTGAAGCCCTACTTAGAAGGAACTGAAGGTTCATTTAACATGATGGAACACAAATAGTAGGAATATGCTCTTCTGCATGCTAACAGTCATAGGATTCACCTTCCCTGAAAAGAGGCTTCCCTGAAAGGGAGTGAGGGAGGTCAGAGTTAAAGGGAGGCTAGAAGGGGTTATCCCTCCCAGATGGAAGAGGGCAGCCATATTGGTTCTTGTAGCCTTGACAAATTGCCTTGGGGCAATATAAGACAATTGGAGCGAGGCACCAGAGCCAAGTGGGTGCTGCTCTCTGGAGTCCTAGACAGAAGGGGGAGACTGACAATGAAGCTTGTGACTATGCCACTAACTGCACCTGTTCTTTTTGTGTTGTCTTGGCTGTGACTGGGAACATGAGAGGAAGCTAGTATCTGACTCAGATAAATATGTTCTCTACCCTCTGCTTGTACACCTTGAATCCAGGGCAAAAAACGGTTGCAGTGTCTTTCACTTCTGTTTTGCTGATCCACCAGTGGAAATACAGTTGGTGCATTTATCCTGCAATGATCAGGAGAATAACTGGGGGGGATAGAAAGTCCTTTCTGCATTCTCAGGTATCCATTAGAGATAGGCTTATTCTGCCTGAGGATAAAAAAAATTGTCCCCTATCTGCCTAGGAGTGCAGGAAAAGACTGCTGCTTTGAGGTGGAAAAAAATACTGGCTATGTTCCCAGCAATAGTTTAGGAACAGCAAAAAGAACCGGGTCTCTTTTGGAAGTTATTAGCAGAAAACTGAGATAAAAGTTTTCTCCTCTGGACAGGAGACCAGATTTTGCTGGCCCTGCCTTTCACAGGAGGAGTTAACATTTTGTTCCATGCTCCCATACCATCAGAATGAGAAGGAACACTTTTTAAAAAACAACTACTGCTGGAAATCCAGTGATGAATAGCCACATGATTGTTCCCAGCAATTATATGAATACTATTCCTCAACGGAGGCCAGATGCATTTGGTAGTTCACAATATAGCTCTGATGAGGTTGGCACACAGTGAAATTCATAGGATCTGTGAGATGAACAACTCAGCGCCTTCCCTGTGCGTTCCTTTGGCCTTTGATAGGGGAGAGTATCTGTTCTGTATTTGCAGTAAAATGAGTTTAACCCTCACTAGGTTTAAAATCAATACAATATCGTAAATCAAAAATTAAGCATCCTTTTTAAAACCAGTTAACAAAATCCACAGGGAATTATACTACCTGCCAAAACTACTCTCTTCAAAAAGACTGCAGCCTTTCAGAGAAGCTGTGCAGGGCACAAATCCAGATCACATGGAAGTCCCTCTTCCCACACAAATGTTTCCCAACTTTGCATCCTCAAATTATAACAATGAGCTGAGAGACTAATATTCTAGATAAGGCAATGGCAGCTGTGGATCTATGCCAGTCAACTGCTTGTACGTTGTTGCTTCATGTATCCTTCCTGAACCTTTGCTGGGAGTTGCAAGATACTATGCTAGGATGCTGCAGTTACAACACATGACCAGCAGGAGAAAGTGAACCATGTTGGAGGTGAAGAATGCAAAACTCCCCTGCAGGGCTGGGGAGAAGAGACTCAGGATGCAATAAGAAAGGTTGCCATTTACACAATGGAGTTCTTGATTATAAGAAATACTTTACTGCAGCCAGATTATAAAAATCACTGGCATTTCCAGTATAAATCCATCAGTCCTCAGGCTGTAATGCTTGGCCATCTTTCAATTGTATAATAGAATTATTAAACAATTCTGAAAATCCTAACCAAAAACAGTCCCTGTCACTTAGTTCAATGTCCCTTTTCAAATGCTTTAGTGACCATTCAATTCCCAGAAATTATTCCAGATTGTCAGCATTCACCTTTTAATGGTTCATTTGGGTAAATGCAATTTCATCCAGATTCCCACTCACCTGGCCCTACCAAAAGATTTGCTTCCTTCACCATGGACCCAGCACACAATTAACTTTGCTGCCAAATTCCACCTTCAAGCAAACAAACAACCCCCATCCATTATTTCATTCTTACTTGTCCAATCAGAGCGCCTATTTAGTATGCAGGTATCTACGCACTCCTACCCTGTTCTCAAAAACATCAGTCCAGCTTCCCCATCACTTCTTCAACCAGACCTTCTATTTAGGCCCATTTTTAGGGTTTCCAAAACCACAGACTTCTACTTTATCACCCAACCCCGTTCATTAACCTTCCAAACACCCTCACTCCAGAAGACTGTGTACACTCTATTCCAGAACCACCAGACCCCTTGTTTAAGAAAATCCCAAATCAAACCCGGTACAAGAGAACAGTCCACCTTCCACGTAAACGATAGCGAAATTTATGAGCTGGATACCCCTCTTCCCCATACCCCCCCCCCCCGAGAATCTTCAGATTTGTAACCCCCTTCCCCGCTCCGCCCTCCCAGTTACCTGAGGGTAGTTTATTCTAGAGTCTCGCATCCTCTCTTCATACCTCCCCCCACTCCTGCATCATAATTCCACTCCCTTTGCACCCTCCTCTCCAACAGCAGATAGTCATCGCCAACCTAAGCCGTTCCTTCCCTGCTCCTTTCTCACCATGAACTTCAGGGCCTTCTCCTGCACCACTGCTTCGGAGGGGTCCATAGCCTTCTCCGATGCGTTTCTGCTGTGGCTCCTGTTCCCCCGCCAGCTCCAGGCTTGGGCTTTGGCCTGGGCCTAGGCCTCCCCCCACTCCCTCTCCCTCAATGCAAGGCCACAGCCTGCGCACAGTCAGATAAGAAACCTCGGCTTTCCTACTGCTCAGGCGAGTGGGAAATGTAGTCCTGTCCTTGCTCCTCAGAGGTAGCCAAAGGGAGAGAAAGGACTGCAATTCCCAGTAACCCCTGCGAAAGGAAAGACCGCGCCTGTCGCCTCGTATGAGGCATTGGAAGTGACGGCCGGTGGGTGTTGTAGTATTCTAAAGCGACAGACAGGGTAAATTAACGTGCAGATCAAGGTTTATCGCTTGGGTATCTTGTAAGTAGACTACGATAAAAGCTGTAGTTTCCGCAGCGACTGAGCTGGGCATCTTAATTCACCTGGAGGAGGCCAAGCAGGGACTGGATGCGGCCGAATGTATACCCAAAAGAACACCATCGCTTATATTAGACATGTCTATTTTTAGGCTCTGCAAGTCTGCAGACTACTGGTTCATGTATATTTGCATGTGAGCATTATGCTTCATTTAGTAAGGAACTCCAACATGATGCTTTATAGGATTGCCATTTTATTGTAAGGTAATTTTCCCAATAAGGCTATAAAACTCTGTAGCAGGGTGGTATACAGATTAAAACACTAACAGCACCATACTAAGAAGGACTATTCATAATCCTACTCAAGTCTATTCAATAGGGAAATGTCCTTGGGGTGCTCCTCTGACATTTTACGCAGAGTTACATGTTGAGTTCCCAACTGGTATTGCTTGTATTGACTTTAAAGCCCTGTATGACATGGGACCAACATACCTTAAGGACCACCTTCTCCCATATGAGCCTACCTATTCACTCTAGTCATCTTTGGAGGCTTTGGTTCAGTTGCTTCCATCTGAGGCTAGATGAGTGGCAACCTGAGAAAAGGCTTTCTTGGTTGTGGCACCAAAACTTTGGAATTCCCTCCCCAGGCAGATTTGTCTGCTTCCCTCTATCAGTGTCTTCTGACAGTGCGTGAAGACTAATTTCATAGGCCATACCCCCAATAATGGTAACTGGCCGCCTCCTTGGTTCTAGTGCTGTATGTTCAGTGTTTTTATTGAATTATAATTTTTAAAGCTGTTTTTAATTGTTAGATGTTTTCATGTTTTCATGTTCACCACCTTGGGGACCCTGATTGGAACTTCATGGAGAAAAAAATGACCTGTCCCTTAATGGACTTAATGGACTATTATTTACCAGGTGATGTTATTTCCCTCTATCCTGTGAAAAACGTCACCTGCCATTTCCGCACATTAAGGAGACAGGACGTTTTTCTGTTTTTTTTTTTTACTATTATCAGTATACCATCTAGAGTATTGAACTTTGAATTTTGTAATAATCATATCATCATTATCATAATCAGTACACTTAATTATCTCTGTGGATACTTAAATCTAGAGACTGGAGCCATAAAACAAACAAGACAGATCTTTCTACAAACTTGAAAAAAGCCCTGGGTTTGCAGGAAAAAAAACAACCCAAATAATAAAAAGCAGTGCTTGTATCTTTAAGAAACAGATGGCTTCTGCAGTCGCCATTGTGGGAATTAATAGATAACCACAACAACACTGCCAGCCTTCAAGCCTTGGATTCTGCTTGTAAAATGCCAGGGGTGGGATGGGCAGGGCAGAGGTCTTTCCAGGGTTGTTTGGGTGTTTGAAAAACGACGCATAAGGACTAGGTCTGGCAGCAACTGCTGGCAAGCCTGGCTGCTCACTACTACTCGAGAACCAGTTTGGTGTAGTGGTTAAGTGCGTGGACTCTAATCTGGGAGAACCGGTTTGATTCCCCACTCCGCCACTTGCACCTGGATGGATGACCTTGGGCAAGCCATAGTTCTGGCACAGCTGTTCCTGAAAAAGAGCAGTTTCTGTCAGAGCTCTCTCAGCCCCACCTACCTCACAGGGTGTCTGTTGTGGGGAGGGGAAGGGAAAGGTGTTTGTAAGCCACTCTGAGACTCCTTTGGGTAGTGAAGGGCGGGGTATAAATCCAATCTCTTCTTCAACTCAACAGCAGCTACTGCACAAAAGCCACTCACAAGGTTGTTCTGAGAATAACATAGAGTAGAGGAGCATGATGTAACCTGCTTTGGGTCCCCAATGTGGAGAAAGGTGGGGTATAAATGAACTTAAGAAATATAACAATATGGGAGGGTAGATAAAAGTTAATTGGTTGTTGGGTGGTAAGGAGAAAAGGAAGTAGTAAAAGGTGAGAAAACGGGGGAAGCAAGGAGAGAGGAAAGGGAAATATTCTGGGGAGGTGGGATACAGGGAACATTGTCAGATGCCCACTGAGGAACTGGTCCCAGCCCAGTGGTTGGAATTGTGCAGAATCTTTCCAGGGAGAAGGTTCTAGGGGGTTAGATAAAGATAGGTTGGCTGCGGACTGGGAAAGAGAAAAGGGAGCAGGAAAGGGGGAAAGGAAATGGAGCCTGCAAGAACATAAGAGAAGCCAATGTTGGATCAGGCTAATGGCCCATCCAGTCCAACACTCTGTCACACAGTGGCCAAAAATACCAGGTGCCATCAGGAGGTCCAGCAGTGGGGCCAGGACACTAGAAGGCCTCCCACTGTTGTCCCCCACCACCAAGCACCAAGAATACAGAGTATCACTTGCCCCAGACCGAGAGTTCCTATCTATACCTTGTGGCTAATAGCCACTGATGGACCTCCGCTCCATATGTTTATCCAATTCCCTCTTGAAGCCGTCCATGCCTGTAGCCGCCACCACCTCCTGTGGCAGTGAATTCCATGTGTTAATCCACTCTTTGGGTGAAGAAGTACTTCATTTTATCCATTCTAACCCAACTACTCAGCTATTTCATGGAGTGCCCACAAGTTCTTGTATTGTGAGAAAGGTAGAAAAGTACTTCTTTCTCTACCCACCGTATCCCATGCATAATCTTGTAAACCTCAATCATGTCACCCCCTCAGTCATTGTTTCTCCAAGCTAAAGAGCCCCAAACGCTTTAACCTTTCTTCATAGGGAAAGTGTCCCAACCCTTTTATCATTGTAGTTGCCCTTTTATGCACTTTTTCCAATGCTATAATATCTTTTCTGAGGTGTGGTGACCAGAATTGCACACAGTATTCCAAATGAGGTTGCACCATCGATTTATACAGGGGCATTATGATACTAGCTGATTTGTTTTCAATTCCCTGCCTAATAATCCCAAACACAACGTGTATTTATAGTTAGGATTTTTGGCCCCAATGTGCATCACTTTGCACTTGGCCACATTGAACCCCATTTCCCAAGTTGATGCCCATTCGCCCATCTTCGACAGAACCCTTTGGAGTGCCTCACAATCCTCCCTGGTTTTCACCACCCTGAAAAATTTTGTGTCATCCGCAGATTTAGCCACTTCACTGCTTACTCCCAACTCCAAATCATTAATGAATAAGTTAAAAAGCATAGGACCCAGTACTGAGTTCTGCAGTACCCCGCTGCTTACCAACATCCACTGAGAAAATTGCCCATTTATACTCTCTGTTTCCTATTAATTAGCTAGTTTTTGATCCACAAGAGGACTTGTCCTTTTATCCCATGACTATTGAGCTTATTTAGGAACCTTTGATGAGGAACTTTTTCAAAAGCTTTCTGGAAGTCAAGTTAAACAACATCTATTGTGTTCCCCTTGTCCACATGTTTGTTCACTCCCTCAAAGAACACTAACAGGTTAGTGGGACATGATCTTCCCTTACAGAACCCATGCTGAGTCTGCCTCAATAGTTTTTGTTCATCAATGTGCTTACTAATTCTCTCCTTAATAACGGTTTCCACCCACTTACCCGGTATTGATGTCAAACTGACGGGCATGTAATTTCCCGGATTTCCTCTGGAACTCTTTTTAAAGATGGGGGTGACATTAGCTACCTTCCAGTCCTAAGGAATGGAGGCAGATTTTAAGGAAAGATTACATATTTTTGTCAGGAAATCCAGAAGTTCACATCTGAGTTCTTTCAGAACTCTTGGAAGTATTCCATATAGGTAGGGCTGCCAGGCCCACTGGGAGGGCAGAGGTTACCCCGCTAAAAGGGTTCCCAATCTGCCAGTCTGGAAAAGGCCGGCGGGGGGGAACCCCGCCCCCAAAGTGCCTAGTTCGGGCCGACGTGCCCAGTGTGATGATGTCACCCGGAGGTGACATCATCGTGCCGGGCATGTTGCTGGCTGACACTCTAGCAATCAGCCTGAAAACTCTATGGTACCATAGAGTTTCCAGGCTGATTGCTAGAGCGTCAGCCAGCGACGTGCCCAACGTGATGACGTCACTTCCGGATGTCCCGGAGAGGAACCGAGCCTCCCCCGCTATTACCAATAAGTAACTTGGCAACCCGACATATAGGCCTGATGATTTATCAGTTTTTAAGTTGTCTATCTGTCATAGAATTTCCTCTCTCATCACCTCAGTCTGACTCAGGTCTTTCAACACCCCTCCTGTTAAGTATGCAAGTCAACAACGAAGTAAGTAACAAGTGAATCAGCTTTATTGAGAACGAGAACTTCCAAAGATCACACAGCATCAGACGACACGAAAACACACAAACAACAGTGGAGCATAGCTCCTTTTAAACTCTCCCGGGCTGGGGTAGCCATGCCCTCACATAGTTTAACATCCAATCAGGTTACAGAGATAACACCCAATCATTTGTCTTCCCTCTAGCACAGACTCTTACATTCCATTGGTTACACTTGTAGTATTCATATTTTGTTCGTATTGTCATCAGCATAGGCAGCACTTTAAAGAATGATAAAAACACTTTGACCTTTAGCAAGGTCACTTTGACCTTTTCTGCCTCTGTTCCCCACCTGAAGTTTGAAAATAATAATGCTAATCTCCCCTACAACTTATTATGAGATTAATGTCATGATGTATATAATATCTTTTGAAGAGTCAAGAATTGCTTTATAGAGCAAGCTGTGATTAAATAGCAGTGGAGAAGCTTTTCTTATCTCATGTATGCTACACATAAACTTTATATAGTTCTTTCCCCTTCCCGATAGTTGTGTTAAGAATTTCAGGCCCCAGGTAAGAACACCTGCTGCTT